TGTGTGTGTGTGTGTGTGTGTGTGTGTGTGTGTGTGTGTGTGTGTGTGTGCATGAATGTATGTGTGTGCATGTATGTATGTATATTTGCATGTATGTGTGTGCATATATTTATATATGTATATATATATATATGTGTGTGTGTGTGTGTGTGTGGGTGTCACAGACCCGCGCTGCGCTCCTTTTCCTTACCCATTGCTTTTCCTGCATCTCAAAAATTGCAATTATACCAATTTTTATGGAGAAACCTGTATATGTAGCATACACAGCGAGCAATTATGTCTAAAAGGTCGGCTTTTTAATCGCTTACTATGGGAAAGTGCATTTTTATCCCCTGCAAGAAGGAAAGGGAATAGCCAAGAGGAAGGCCCAAGGCTAGCTTGGCTCAACCCGACCTCATCTATTACAAAGAATGAGAAAAGACGAGAATAGTGTGTGTAGGAAAGATTGAAAGGGAAAGGGAAATGGAAAGGGAAATAGAAGAGCGAGACTGGCTGAAAAGGATGGAATGGCCGGTTATGTTAATAATGCACGGATAAGGGAGTGCAGAAAGGTTGGCTATTTGAAGGAGACAGTGTCTACAAGCTACCCAACACCCTGAACCAGAACCAGTTTTTTTTTCAGCAACATCCGATTCTTGTCCTCCCCCCCCCCCCCCTCCCCCTCTCTCCTTCCCTCCCCCGAGTGGAGGTCGTCCTCATTGTCAATGGGAGATAGAAGAGCGGTCCTGATGGAATCAGTGTGTGTCATTGTTGTTGTTATGTTTGTTGTTATTGAAGAGAGAGAGAGGCATTGGCTGTTTCTGTTACCGCCGCCGTTGCTGCTGCAATGAAAGGGAAGGGAAACAATTATTACGCAACGACTGGTTGTTGTAATAGGTTGACCCAACCAACATGTAGTTGCAGATGAGATAGAGGAGGGGCGGGAGACGTGGGAGAGGATATTCAGAAAGTTGCTGTTACTCTCTTCTTGTCTCCATTCCCCCGCATCACCACTTCAAATAAACTTTCTCTTATTGGATGGAATGAGGTTATGGTATATCGGGAAGAAAGGTAACGTTATCTCATTTTAACGCGACACTGCTTCAACAAGTTCTCAATGGGATTGACATACCGTAACCTGGATAAGAAGCAACAGCATTTGTGACAAACATACTGCACACCCTGAATAAAATCAAAGTATCGAATCTCTAATTAAAGTCGATAAATGAGCTTCTTTTAAATAAACGTTTGTACAGAAGAAACAATGGGAAAATAATGTAACAAGGATGGCAAAGGTTGAATTGCATATGTAAGCGTATCACATGTCTAGCTAAAGTTATTTCATAATCGTATCATGTTTTGAATTGTTTCTTGTTTGCGTGTGCTACACAAATTCACCTCCCCCTTCACCGCTTTTCTATTGAATGTGATGTGACAGTGTCCTTTGAACCTGTCTAAGACTCCTCTGAAGGACATATCCCAACTCTCACATAGCTATTAATGATATATGAGGCGGTAATTTACCATAGCACTGAAATAACAAAAGTATTCGAGAAAGAAAGTATGAATGGTACTGAAGGAGGAAGTATTCGAAATGTGTATGAGGGAACTGGTGAGTGTGATGTGGCCAGCTGTGACTGCCCATAGCCTCCATCCCCCTCCCTAAGAGGTCTCCCTCGATCATCAGGGAAAAATCATTTGTGGTGGTGGCAATGGTAGTGGTGGTGGTGGTGGTGGTGTTGCTGCTGCTAATCATCAAAAAGTGCAACTGACAAGTAGGCGGGGGAGAGTCGGGGAGAGAAGAGGAAGAAAAGGGAAGAAGGAATGAAGAAAAGGAAGAGGCTAAGGCTGTATCAGGTCTGAATTAGACCAAGAAGACTGCACTTCCCTCAAGAAACCAACGGTCACTCCATTTTTAAGTGCAAAGAAAAACTCAAACTTGCTGCATTACCTACCCTTCCATGCCTCTGAATGTTGATGATGATGATGATGATGATAACGAAGACGATAATAATGATGATAATGATGATGATGATAATAATGATGGTGATAACGATGATGATAATGATAGTAGTAATGATGATAATGATGGTGATGATGTCCTCAGCTGCTATGCCATCATAATTCTTGTTGCACTTATACTGCTCTAACTTACGCAATACCGCTCCTATTGCTACTGCTATTGCCACCATTGCGCCATTACTGCCACATGCACATAGCTATAGCCGCACTACCGGTATCTGCCTACCATAAATATGGTGCAACTCATGATTCATATTATTCACTTAACTAAAAGAAAGGATTACAGTTTGCCAGGCTATTATCAAGATGAGGATGATATATTTACATAACATTATATTACGATACTAATCAATGGATAAGTTTTTTTTCAAGTGCCTAAGGGGGAAAAAAAGAAGTGATCATTTCGGTCTTTATCATGTCAGTTTAATTGGTTTAATTTAATTTTACGTCACTCTATTTGACATAATATTTCTTTCTCATAATGAAACACTTGTTGATGTTGTAACTATTGGTGCTTATGAAGTAATTAATTAAAAACGAATCAAAATATATACGAAATTTTAGAGATGGAAAAGCATCAAAGATGAGAGAAATGAACAGGAGGTTATCGAAAATGGTGAAAATGCTGCATGTGTTTCGGGTTGGAAATGAAAATGTCTAACATATAATTAAGGACTGATAGTAGTAATAATGATAAGGTGATTTTAATGATAATGGAAAATGAGAGCAGAGATACATAATTTATTAGTAAGGGTGTAGAGTAGTGAGAATAGTTATAGTACTGGTAAAATAATAGCAATAAGAGGATGAACGGAAACAATTAACAAGTAACCTGGGAGTACTCGTAATTGAATCCCGGTTTATCGAGGTTTCGATGAAATATTTTCACTACCCATTACCTATCACTTTTTTCTACTTGCCATCTTTTTCGTTCAATTACCGCCCGCAACATTGTTCATTACGGCTTATCAATCGTCTTGTCCTTTGCTTCCCACTACAACATAATGTTTCAAATATGCTAAAACCGCTCAAAGATTAGCCCGTAGTAAAGCTGCAACTACCAGTGGTGCTTCACGACAACAGCTCCCTTACCTACCTACTCCTCTTTCAATGATTATAATAGCAGGAACCTTTCTTCTCACCACCCTCCTGCCCTCCACATCCCCCCCCCCCTCTCCTTCCCTCCCCATTTACCCAAAATAACTAGCTTGCCTACCGTCGTCGTCACTTGTCGACATCAAGCAACATCATGACTTGTTGACAATTAGAGATAATACTACTACTACTACTAGCTTCAAGCAATGAGCACTTAACATAGGAGGGATGGGCGGTTGGCTGGCTCAATCCCATCTCCGCTTGTTTATCATAGCTTTTCTCCCTCATCATTTATTGCATATTTCCTGTTTTGCTCGTTTCCTTGTTTGTTTGTTTGTCCATCTATCCATCCATCTATCGGCTTCACATAGCTTTTTAAATGCGCTGATGTAGATGCCGCTGCTAATGACAATGACATCACGACATTTGGACACAGCAAGAAAGAAGAGAGATGATGGCATTGTTGTGGAAGAAGAAAAAGAAGAATTGAGAGATGTATCTAGGGAAGCTTTAAACAACAAACTATTTTGGTTTATATGACATTATTAGTTAATAAACATCACACGTGAATGTCTCTGAACATAATTACGAGTCTATTCTTGTGATGTATTTCAGTATAACGTAATTATGCGTCTCACTGAATGACGAAGTAAATGTAGTAATTGCTTTAAGACTGTATGGATCTGAACACATGATTGAGAGATCTTCGGATAGAGTAGAAGTCGACTGTCTTTGATATTCTTCAGGAAGTAATCTTTTCAGAGAAAACACCGGGAAATGTCCGATCAACTTATCTTCCCATCTACAATCCAAAGCAGGAACATCTATACACATACACACTTCTAGCTGGCTCTACTGCATGTGCGTATATATATATATATATATGTCTTTGTCTGTGTCCGTTTGTGTGGCGATTGTGACTGCTTAGCGCCAAAGTTCATGGTAATGATCGGTTGATACCACTCAGTTGGTCTTTGGTGTATTATTTTGATAAATACAGTGAGTGATACGTACACGTAACTCTTCTACCTATTTTATTACGTCGTTAAAAAAAGTACACGTGAATCATTTTAGTCCAAGTTTGGCAAAATTTGGCTTGTTAATGAAGAAAATAATTTAATTATCCATGATTTAATGGATGAACTAAAAGGAATGAAGCAGAAACGATAGGAAACGTTGACCTGAATCACAGAGAAAGCGTCTGCAGAACGAGGAATTCACGTTGGAAGTAGTATACAATTTTAAAAAGTCAAATGAACAGAGTATAGTGAATGTTTTTTATGGGACGAAAGAAATCTTTTCATCTGTTGGACGGTCGCTGTCATTCATCGACGTACATGAGGGGATACGTACAAATTCATTAACGTACGTGAGGAGATAAGCAACCAAAAAGTAACTTGAGAGTATCGAACTAGGAATCATCACAATTTTAATCATTATGATGATCAATTAATTGTCAGCATCGAGTGGAAAAGGATATCAGACTGATTCCCGACTTCTTAAAGAAGTTAGCGACCATTCTTCATAATATATTCTAGTGGACATTTCGCATATGTAACAGAAATCCATCAGGATATGCTGTGGATGAATAGTTAGGAGACGCTAATTGTAATAGTGATTCTGATAAGACATTATGATATCAGATAATTATAAGGTTATTCAATGATCCTTCTTTCAATATTTTACATCTTCATCACTGATAAAAAAGCTAGGTTACGAAGAAAATGGAATGGCATTCATGCGTGGATAGTGGCCATCTGATCTCCAGATACCCCCATGTTTTTGGCATGTATATATAGCACCGGTCTAGCTTGCATTGAAAATCTCAGGTGAAAAAGATAATGAGTGATGTCACTGAATTAACTACCATTTGATTTTCAACATTTCCACTAAAAATGAACGAAATTTCAAGGAGTTTCTAGAAATTATTCATTGTGCAGTATTTTAGTATGACATAGCACACGAATTAACGGCCCAACGACGGATGCGCCTTGTAATAATTACCTACAATAAGCATATGGGGATTTCTATAAGCTTTCTATAAGTTGGCACATTGGAAGGTGTTATTCAGAGTCAAAGTGATCTCTTTTTTTAAGCATCAAGATCCTAAACCTAAACCTGATCATCAAGCATTAAGGAAAGCGTTAAAATCTATGCCTAATAAAATCAAGAAGGTGAATGAAATACTATAACTTTCTCGTATAATTCCATATTTAGTTTGACAGTTGAACTTATTTGTTTCACGAAATAAAGCAATTATCCCATAATTCATCCTTTTATTTCATATGCAAAGATGTCTTCAGTATGGAGCAATTATCCAATTTACCCTCAGCCGATAGTAAAGCATCACCACTGCCAAGTGAGAATTAGAGAATTGCTGACAAGACTGACCTTTAACCTTCCAAGTTGAATGATCCTCTTGCTCAAAGTGCAGCATTTTACAGCGAAAAGAAAATAAAAATTCTCAAACAGAATGTCACAATAAAAATCATTAACAAATGATGCCATATTCAGAAATGGATGGATAAGAAAGTTAAGGTTTATTTGACAACTAATCAATTTACTATGACATCAGTTAAAACACAATTTGGAATTTTTCACAATGCACAGGAGGAGAAAGCTATATTCCCACTTCAAGACAAATAGCTTTTAATATGTTTTTGAGAAGACAACAGCGCCAAAAAATCCATTAATTCCCAGGTGACCGCATAACCAACCATCCAAAAATGTTCTAGTGGAACATAAACAGTGTTTTGAGAGGAGCTCGCATTCGAATGGCAGCTTAGAATTTAGTGGAGTTCATATATTGCAATGATCTCTGTAAAATACCGGTTGAAATATAGCTATGCTATTGTAACCAACTATCGTATTGTACCAATGCTTCTAAGAAATGACAAAGAGAACATTGATAGGATGAAGTTGACAAAGAATAGGAGGACATGATAGAATTACTCAACTTTGGGCTTCTCTATTACTATTGAGAATGCCTGACGATATTTGCTTCTATCATCTATGTCTTCGGTACAGTTAAATGAGAATACCGAATGCAATTTTGTCATAGGTAATGAGAGAAGATTGGTTAATTACTTGATGGATTAATTAATGAATTGTGGGCGAAATGAAGTTCAAAATTCCGGAAAAATTGACAGTATATAGGGGAGGAGAAAAGGGACAATAAAGCTTTGAATAAGGAAGTTTTTTTTTTCTTTTTTTTTTTAACGCATTACGACACAACTCAGAGAGGTATAATGAATGAATGAATGGATGGATGGATGGATGAATGCCTACATATGCGCTTATTGCATTTAACTTTTTTGTTTACATAGTTCTACAGCTTCTGCTCAATTTTGGATCCAAATGCTCTTGAAGAACGGAAGAACGGACGGGCGGACCATTTCAGTTGGATCGTTTTCGCGCTTTCAAAAATTTCCACCTCTATAATCGTTTTTTTTTTTCCTATTGCTCAATGTTTGTCAAATGGGCATTCATCCGGACATCTGCACATTTTCCTGCATGCAAAAACCTCTGGTGTCTCATCGAGAACACTCTCATTTGTACAACCCATCATCATCAAATCCTAAAATTTCCGGTCTTCCAATCCCACTACCCATCAACTTCTTCTCTTTCCCAACCTCCTATCAGAGAGTTATACTAGTTTTCAATACTAACACAATATCCATCCATCTATTTGTCTATGTTACACTTTTTGTAGACTTAGATTTTATAATTTTAATCCTAAAAGTTACTTTGTATACACTTCACAATAAATGAGCAAAGAAAACCAAGAAAGTTTAAGTTTTCAGAATCGTTTCCATCTATTCTTTAAACAGTCTGACAATTGATACAATTTCTGTAAGACAATAATTCGGATACATACTTCTATACGATATATATACCAAAATCGGTAACTATCTAAATCAGAATCAATTAATTGTTATCATAAAGTATGCTTATCAGTGTATTAAGACCAGATATGGTGATAGCGAGCTAAAGGTTATGGGGTAATATTATGAAAATGGAAAAGAAGAGAAGGAAAATGAGGTGTCATGCGATATTATTGTTTTCTGTTCCTTGACATTGACTCTCTCTGTGTATATGTATGTTTGTGTATGTTTGCGTATGTATGTGTGTGTATGTGTGTGTATGTGTGTGTGTGTGTGTGTGTGTGTATGTATGTGTTTGGATGGAAAAGGATACAATGTTGGACAAATAATATAAAAGTACAAAATGAAGATAGAGATTGTGTTTACCTTAGCTGTTTGTTACTCTTGAAACTGTTGTATCACAGAGTTATTTGGTTCGATTTGATTGGAAATGTAATAGGGTCCGTACTTCATGTGAAATTGTCCCATTTTTAGAGATTAAAGATAATACTCACAAAAATTTTGTAAGCTTATTTAAATTCTATTTCAAAAAAAAAATCATTCACAGCAAATTTAACGAAGTTAATTCGTTGCACAACTGCTCAAAAGTGTCCATTATGAAGTGGACACGAACTGACCAATCTATTGAAAAAAAAGACGATATGTAGACAATTCGCTTTTCATCACCGTTTTATTGTTATATGATTTATTGAATGAATGGTTAAAATATGCAAAATGGATTAATTAATTTAGCAATGGATCAGAGATCAAGTATTGCCAAAGAATGGATGAACTGAAGAATTGTTTCATTAACATTACTTTAGTGATATACTTGTTATTCCTCAGTTTAACAGTACATTGCAATAGGAATTTCACTTAGGGAAGAGGTAATGCAGTTGACCTTTTGCTAGATAAAGAGATTTAAATTAAATGAAATAACAAGAATGAGAAGAATTTGAATGATAAGGAAAAGGTTAACAGTTAATTCAAAATTAGTTGTGGAAAATTTGGACATTGAATCGCTTGTCAACCAAAAACATGTATGTGTCCATGTCCATGTATGTATTTGTATGTGTGTTTGTATATATATATATATATATACATATATATATGTGTGTGTGTGTGTGTGTGCAATTGAACAGGAACACAGGTTTTGAAGTTGTTCGTTACAAATTATTGCTTGCTACTTGGAATCAGACAGTTATGGTGATGTTAGAAGATACCTGCCACCTAATTTGAAATAGCTTTTTCTGCTTTGAACGACCACAAAAAAAAAAAAGAAGAAGGAAAAAGGAAAAAAAGAACAAACTTATGAAAGATGGATGGATAGGTGTGTATGAAATGGTGAAGATATAAAAGAGGCGAATGATTGGTATGAGAAAATTAAAGAAAAAAGAGGTAGCAAGAAAGAAATGATCGGTAGAGCTGAAGTTAAATAACCAGTCGTTGAAGAAGTGAAGAACTTTTTGAAGCATCAAAAGAAGCCAATAATTGCATTAAAGCAATAAAAATTATTGATAAATGCATTATGAATTAAAAAGTTAATACGAATGAGGGAAGTGATTTCAGTACCGGAAGATATTATCATAGATGAAATCGGATCCGGAAATTTTAAACATGACAAATAACCGTTTCATATCCATGACCAAATTCAACTTTACTCATTCATCCATGAAACCAATGACTTTTAATAATTTGCATTTGCATTGCGCAAATCGTACAACGTCGTATGAACGTGATCGAAAAACGTGTAATTCAAATTTTAACCCATTTATCATGTGATCACTTCATTAACAAATAATAACGGTATACTTCTAAATGTTACATTTTGCATGAGATTGATACGTCAACCTCATTTATTAATGAAGTGAACTTTGACCCTAAACCCTATAATAAGTAGATTAATAAATGAGGTTATTATGGATTGTATTGTAACAAGCATGTGAATGAAGTCCAAGTTTCATTGAAGATTAAGATCATCCGATCAGTGATCATCTGATCAATGGTCCTAATTGATCTTTCAGTCGAGTAATTAGAAATAATGTCATTAATGAAATGATATGATAATGTAATATCATTAGTTCGAAAGGAAGGCGATAAGCTAATCATTTGGAATGAAAATCCTTAATGAAATCAACAGAAACGCTTAAATTTTTTGCTGATGCTGTTCTAAAACGAAACACAAAATTTGGTTTTTTTTGTCTTTCCATCCCTCTATGCATTATGCATGATGGCGTAATTGTCCAATGCGTGACACTGACAATGACAGTCACCTCCGGACTTTTGCCCTTACCCTTCTTTCCAACTAACACTCCACTCTTCCTCCACTTTCAGTTCCTCTAACCCACTCATTGACACAAAGCGTTAATACAGGATGGGACATCGGGATGACAATGACAACGAGCAGAGTCGTCGACAAAATTGCAAAACGAGTTTTCCAATTCCGAGAATTTTTTTTTTCCTTTTTCAAACATCCTTCTTAAAAATTTGCTGGAACTTTCATGATTTTCTTTCAAGATTTATAAGACTAGTCGAATTTGTGAATAGATGGTGTTTTTGACGAGAAAAGATCAAATTATACAATAATATCTCTAACGAATAGAAGAACAATGCAATTAGTTGTTAAATTAATAACATAGCAAAATGTTGCAAATTCAAGGGATGAAAGGGTTGAGAACAGATTCTCGAGTCCTAAAAAAAGTTAACTCGAGAAAAAATACAATCTGAATCAAT